TGATTAACTCGCACTTAGACAGGATATAGCGCCGCTCATCCTTCAATCACGGGATCCACATCACGCGGTCACACACGTTGACTGGCTCCTCGAGCAACGACTTCTCAGATAGAAGTTTATTCTTCTACTGAGCTACTTATAGATAGTGTGAGGAGATTTGGGATTTTTTTTGGGGGGGGGATTTGGAGATTTGGGATGTTTCTAACCTTCCACTGAACTGTTTATCCAACTTACGCACATATTATGTCCATCGGTAGATCCTTCAGGTAGCATGGCAGCTAGACACTGGAAGGGTGTTACAGCTGAGCGATGTCCATCGGTAACCCTTCGTACCGAAATACCGGTGTAATCGGTCGTCAGGATGTTGGCAGCATCTCGTTATTATTCTGATACAATTAATTCGGTTTCCATTCTAGCGGCTATCTTTATCTAGTTAGATTATGAAGTTGTTCGTTCAAAGCGAGCGAATCTCCCTCCTCATACAATCCGAATGGCATTCTCAGAAATTCCTTCACTGTAACGGCGGTCTTAAGCACACACATGTGCTGGTTATATCGGTTCTCACGGTCGCGAATCAGTTCATTGATTTCTCAGCCCAGATTCTTGTGCATTTGTCGCTGGCTAAACCATCCGTTCGTCGTATTCATCCTGCTCCAACCGTACGCATTGTTTTTCACTAACCAGATTTTTTCGGCATCGGTTGATCTGCCAGACAAGGACAGTGTTGTGGCACACGGCGTCGTGTGTTTTTGTGATTCTATACCTAAACCAGGTTGGTTCATATTGAGACGGAAGTGGTGATCATCCGCATGCCATTCGCTGTCCTTACCCAACCGGTACTCGTATAAATAGAAACAAGTTGATTTAGTATGGATGGTGCTAGTCTCCATACGCAACACAGCGATAGACGTCATTTGGGGTTGTTCGCTCTCAACCTTCGTTGTCCACACAGACGCGGTGATCCTGAAAAAGATTCGCACGATCCCATTCCACCTTTGTAGCTCTGTCTGCATGAATTTTCCACGATGATCACTCAAAAGCGATGGAATTATGTGTTACTGTCACGCTGCGATCGGCATGTCCGTGTACACCACTATTTGCTGCGGTTCATGATTTCGGTGGTGTTCAGTTTGTATCGTTGGCGAAATCTGACCCTGATTTCACTACACCTGACGTGCATCCTCACCAGCTTTTTATGACTGGAAGTGCTTGGTCCGTCTTCCTATCTACCACATAAGCATGTCCCTCCAGTTGAGTTGTATCACACCGTTAGCGGATGTCCAATGAAAAGAAGCTATCTTACCGACACCTCTGTTCTTCGGCCAAGCTGGGCGAGTGGATCAGTCAGTGGACTATTCGCGAACTATGTTCATTTGTACACCAGTTTGGTTTTAACAGGAGACTCAAATGAATCCCAACCGAATCTCTCTTTTGTGCTGGCCTTCTTCAGTTAAATGTGCCGCACGAAATCCGTTTCATAGTCCACTTGGTACGATGTTGGTAATACCACAGCTTCTTAATTTCCAGATGTTTCATAACTGCTGATTCATTATACCGATTCATCTCACCTGCAGGATGTCGGGCAAGTGTACCTTTAGGTTGATGCAATCAAGATGTTTCATAACTGCTGATTCATTATACCGATTCATCTCACCTGCAGGATGTCGGGCAAGTGTACCTTTAGGTTAGATGCAATCAGATTTGATTGGTTTGCTTTCACGTGCCGTGAATGAGACGTCTAGAACTTATGCTGTATTTAATTCTCTGAGATTATATTTCATCATTGGTAACGATTTTTCGGCGCCTGTACTTAGGAGACCAAGTTTCTGGATAAGTTTTAGAGTGATTCTCACAGAAATTGTGGTAATGTCAGGAGCTAGAAACACCCATCTTATGTGAGATCCAGTTGTTCACCATAATTCACTCCTTGTTTTTGGTTTTGTGTCTTTTTGGATTAGATATGGGATGTCGAGTCCCTCATTCCCATCAGTTCCTGGTCTATCGCATCCTCGTCCTGGCCTCTTGGAGGTCGCGCGTTGCCCCCAGATGTATCCTTTTCACCAGAATCAATGATGCTGGCCACCGTACTTCCCTGTGATACTTTCCGTCAGCTGGCTTTGTGGGATTTGCGCTCTTCGTTATTGCGTGGCCCTTCGCTACGTTGTTCGAATATGCTTGATTCTAGTTCAACAGATTTACCAAGGTGAGCTGGTTTCTGCCATAGTGATATTCATAATACCGATCTTTCCGCGCCTTTGTTCTTGTCAGAGCCGTCCACTACCTGGTAGGCCATGAACAGATTACTTAGTACAACGCTTGAGTTTTCGTCGCGCTGATTCACGAATGCACACACCGACCACACGTGACCACCTGATATGGATCCCGTGATTGAAGGATGTGGAGTGAGAATCTTGCACACTTTTGATCAACCACTCGCAGTCGAATGGTCAGGTTTTCCAGATACCAACCTGGAGTTCATGGGCTCGAAACCTCTCTAAGTTTCATGAGATTCACACTGCTGTTGATTCCCAATAAGAAGAAAACGATTGTACAATCCTTCTCGGTTTTTCTGGATAGACTGGCTTCACCTACAGGGTGAAATCTCCATTGAAAATTCCCTAATCTGCTCGTACTGCCAAATGATCTTCGCTTGTCAGAAAAAATCGAACGTTCAATAGAAAGTTGGTAATACGCTTGAAGTTGCTTGAGCAGCCACTGTTAAATATCGCGATAATATACCGTTTTACTTTTGTTGTCTGCCACTAAATGTGTGATAGTCTGCACCGTTCAACGGTTGATGTAGGTTTTCTAAACCTCATAGAAAATCTGCGTTGTTTTTTCGGTGAGTCGACTCTACCGGCTGGATGAAAAAATATTAATAGTTTGAAAACAGGAGCTTAAATCTTCTATCCCACATAGATGCCGATGAAAATGCTTGCAAAGTTAACATGAGGTTACAAAAAGCTAAAGTCAGTTTTACGAAACCTGCTGCAAGAGATACTTGACACCTAGAGGTAGCATACCACTCATCAGGTCGCTGAAATCCCCTCGACAACCGTGTGAGTAGTATGTTATGCTTAGATAATGCACTTCAATGTCTTGAATACCGTACGAACTGTAGCGTGAGGCGGACTTGTGCAGTACATTCGGTCGAAGAGGAATACCATAGAAGAGAGATTCAGCTCTGATTCAGGTGAGTCTCCCGTCAGAATTACATTGGTGTTCGAGTGAGATACTTGGTGAATGCTCGGCACCTGTTGACACTGAATACGTTTCGATGTCGGCCCTAAATTCGTGGATGAGATTCCGGTGTGAACGGTGGGTCCTGTGCAAAGTATCCGCAAACCACACGTCACGAGCACTGTGAATTGTGAACTTTCTGTTTTGTTAAGACCGCATGCTTGAGTAAACCGTCGTATTCATGTTTCAGGTGACTGCAAAATGGTTGCCGTGTTTTTGGCGCTACATTATACTCCACTCAGGGAACTGGAATAAACCACACAATGGCAGTAGATTATTGAATGGAGTGTGTGCCCCCACTGAACGCATGCGGGAACATTTCAACAGTCTACCCTTATTACCGGCTACACAGACACACCTGTGAATTCAGTCGCTTTCAAACGCATCTCCAGGTTGCGCCAGGTGTCTCCATGTTCGAATGGAAAATACCATACGTATGCAGTAGTGAACCGTAAAAATTCAAAGCTGCTCTGGATTGACATGAACGATAGTTCCTGAAGTGAAAGCCATGGGTCTCATCTGGCCATGTCTTGTTGGTTTTCGTCCTTATTGTTGCTACTCAGAGCAGCTTTTTGTCGGTCATAATCTTTATTCATCTCTCCTGAACTGCCCCTCACTTGTTGTTTAGACAGTAATTTCACAGTATAATTTATTATTTTCCTTTTCTTACTTTCTTACTTTCCTTTTCTATTTTCCTTTTCTATTTGATTCCTCCCCTGGTAAAATACAACTCGCTCGGCGGGGTATCTCTCCCCGGTTAGGAATCCGTCCCGTAGCACGTCTTCGACGGACGCCAAGCGTTCAGAAGCAACGATGGACGTATATGAACACGATTTTGAAATTCAAGAGCATCCGGTAGACAGCCATTGAAACCCAGGACGTTATATATCCAATATCCAAGGAACTCTTTGTGGACAATAGAAGACACTCCAAATGATGCGTTTTCCGATTTTCTGAAAAATCATTTCACCTCTAAAGGGAAACCATTTAGCTATCTGATTTTGCTATCTGACTAGCTCAGTGGATTGACCGAACTCATCTAATCTGAAGTTAGTCTGTCCATGATGGAACATCGCTGGCGAGGTGGCTCAAGTGGTTGGAGCACGAATTTACTGTCCGGAAGGTCCATGGTTCGAACCCGACCTCTGTCCCTCGACTTCCTCTGTTTAGGCTTGGGCTACCTGGCAGTATCCCAGCCCTCGTGCCTCCGGATGGCATAACAGCTAGGCACCGAAATGGTGATGGAACACCTTGTGTCCACCACTAAGTCGAACGCCATGCTT